CGCGGCCCCCGCCACCCCCCACGGCCCCGGGGACCCCGCAGGCTCCTACCGATGGCATCCCTGGCTTGGCCGACAACCTCGTGGGCGTAGAAAGCGGGGAAGATGCCCCTCTCCCCCGTCCGCATGTTGTAGCCCCGGTACCAGTAGTCATCCTCCTCCAGCTCCACCAGGATGGGGTCGTCCACATCCAGCTCCAACTCATCCTCGTGGCGGGGGATGAACCTGGGGGGGACAGCCAGAAGGAGGGCGTGGGCAGGGAGGGGCAGAGCCGCGGGAGAGGGGGTCCTGTGAGACCCCCCCGAGGTGCCTGTGACCGTGGCCGTGGCTGGCACGGCGCGGCCGGGCTCGCTGCTCACCTGAAGACAGCCCGGTGGGTTTGCTCCCGCTCCTCCCCGTTCACCATGCAGGAGAACAGCCCGAAGGACTCTGTGCCTGCACGGCGCAGGTCACTTACTGGAGGAGCGGGAGGTGCTGTTGACAAAGACGTTGAGGAACTTCTTGGAGAACTGCAGGTCGGCCTCGGGGGACGAGTCCTCGGAGGAGCTGTGGGCGTCGGGGGCCACCAGCCCATCCCCGAAGGCCGCCTCGTCCTCCAGGTCACAGCGGTCACAGGCACGGAGCAGGTCGCTGTCGTCGCTCAGCACCGAGGTGCAGCGCCGCAGGCTCACCAGCTCCAGCTGCGTGTGCTCGTCCACCACCAGCGTGTACTTCACCGAGTCGTAGGCCAGGGACTCGTCCAGCGCCCGCGGCTCCAGCGTCCCGGGGGCGGGCGGCAGCTCCCCCCCAAAGCTTCCCCGCAGCGGGTCCTCGGGGAAGGGGGAGCCCTTCAGGTAGGGCGCCTCGTCCTCGTCCGTGGAGTAGGCCATGGTGAAGCCGCGGTTGGTCTTGGCGGTGGAGACATCCAGGGTGGGTGGGCTGGTGTCGGGGCTCTGCCCCCCAGGCGCTAACCGGACGTCGTCGATCATGTCGTCGGCCTCCAGGATGCCCGAGTCCAGGTCCCTGTCAACAGCCCAGTCCTCTGGGCCGGCGGCCAGCGGTGCCGTGGCGGTGCGGGGCTCCCCGCTGGCGGCCTCGGTCCTGGGGGAGGTGCGTGGGGGGGTACGGGGCGGCCCGGGGTGGCAGCCAAAGGTGGCCAAGACCTCGGAGGCGCCCAGCCTGTCGAGGGCGACGGGGCGGCCCGGGAAGACGGGCGCGATGGTGTCGTTGGTGGGGTTGCTCAGGAAGAGGAAGGGGCCCGGCTCGTCGGTGGGCAGCTCCGGCACGGGCTCCGTCCCAGCACCCAGGGCCTGTTCATTCTCGGCGCGCTGGAGGGAGCTGCGCAGCGTCTCCATGTCCACCAGCTCGATGGTGCGCTGGCAGTGGGGCAGGGCGGCCGGCTCCCCCGTGCCCACCGGGGAGTCCCGCGAGCCGGGCTCCCCATCCAGCGCCTCACTCAGGATCTCGGGCTCCAGGTCGGAGGCCGGGGAGATGGTGTCGCAGAGCGAGTGGGTCTGCTGGAAGCACTCGTCCGGGCACTTGATGGGGTAGGAGCCCTCCGAGATCATCTTGTTGACGAGGTTGCTGAGCAGCCAGGGTGAGTCCGAGTCCTCGCTCAGGTCGGGCTCCGACTCCGAGTCGGAGTCATACTCGCTGTTGTCCTCCTCGTCAGCCTCGGGCATCAGCTTGGGCCCCACGGGCAGGTAGAAGGAGCGCCGGATGCTCTCCAGGCTGTGGTCCGGGTCGATCTTCAGGTCCAGGGGGCTGGAGGCAGGGATGTCCGTCTGGCCCGCGGGCGCGGAGGAGTCCGCTGGGTTCAGGCTGTCATAGTAGCCCTCCATCTTCAGCTCCGCCAGGCTCTCCCGCCTCACCACACCGCGCTCCGGGAGCTCCCTCTCCAGGGTCTCCTCCTCCTCCTCCTTGCCCTTGTCCAGCAGCAGGGAGTCCTTGATGCCCATCAGGCCGGGCGCTTCCAGCTCTGTCTCCAGTTCGGCCTCCGAGGTGGGCGAGCTGGCCTCCTCGATGGAGTTGGTGAGGTGGGAGGACCTGCCGCTGCTGCTGTCACTGCTCAGGTCCAGCTCCGTCTCTGAGATGGAGGAGATCATGTTGCTGACCAGGCGCCCACCGGCGAAGGCCGCCTCAATCTCCCCCTCCACGTCCGAATCAGAGCCGGGCGAGCTGAGATCTTCGCCGTGCCGGCTGCCGGGCAGGAAGGGTTTGGTGGTCCTGCTGGTGAGGTCGGCCTCGATGCCGGGGTCCGAGGAGGGCGAGGTGGTCTCCGAGGAGCCCGAGGGGTGCCCGCGCACGCTGGCCGCCCGGCCGTGCTGGGGGCCCTCCCCATCAGAGCTGAGTGGCTCTGCTGGCCCCGTGGGGCACGTGTAGGCGCCCGGCAGCCGGGCCCCCTGCCCATCGCACCGCTCAGCGACAGCCCCGGCCGCCCGCTCC